CCCTGTCGCGACTCAATCCTGACCCAAGGGAGACCCTACCGTCTTGAGAGATAAGATTGAAACTCCAAGACTCCAAGACATCGGTTACCCGGGTCTCGGTATCAGGCCCCTTGACGGCGAACTTGAGTTTGCCCAGTATTTTCTAGGCAATAAAACAGAAAGATTGGCTAATCATCTACACAACCCACCTTACATTATGGTCATGCCACCCTCAGAACATCGCTCACCCTACTGCCAATCTGCCATGTGCATCTCCGACTTGGTGTTGCTTGCATGAGCCCCGCTTCTGTTGTTGCCCCTCCGTTCCTGTCGTGTTTCATACAAGCGATAGCTTCGGGAGAGAAACCTCCTTCCGTCATCGCTCACGGCAGCTCGCGATAACGTCGAGACAATGCTTTTACGCCGTGTAGCAATGCGCCGCCCCGCTGGCTGTCAAACAATAGCGCCTGGTAAACGGCGTAACGCCCATCCGTCCAATCCTTCGCTTGCGCATAAACACCATACTATACCCACAACACACGAGAGGAAAATCCAGTCGCAGGTTGTAGGAAGTGAGGAAATTTCTTCACAATCTGATCGAGACCATCCACAGTAATTTGCAATTACCCAAAATGCCGAAACTTCCATCTGCATCGATAGCTGCGCGCCTCCGCCTTGGTGCGTATAGCGTCGCGCTTCGCCTTCGCACCTGCAGTGCTCAAAGTCCGGTTCCACGCCGTCATGACTCCAAGAAAGCTGAAAAGTAAAAGTGTAAACTAGTGCCTAGATCCATCTATCGCCTGCCCGAGAATATTACTCGAGCCGCTGCACGGTTGTTCTCATCTCGTACCCATATGATACCAAGCATTCTTCACGACCCGACCGACACTACAGCGGCACGCACTGTATTGCAACGCAAGTATACCTATGGCCTGTCTACATTTTCTATCCTCAGATCTCTCCGATCACGCGAGGCCGTTGCCACGTTACTTTTCCAAAACCGCCGTTCCCACAAGCGTACCGATCTATCGTATTCCTCCACCCCACCACATGCATGAAAACCGAAAAACCGAAGCATCGATCGATGGACACCGGGTTTTCGTGCGACCCGAACACGAACCCACCTTTTAATCCTCACACAATTGACGCTCCTCAAAAGGACCGATAACACCTACCAACACATCACAACATCACCATCGACGCTTCCAGAACGCATAAACGTGTACCCTACTACCTGTTTCTTGTCAGTTCCCGTGTCAGAAAAGCTTGTGTTTGAAACGCTTTGATACTTTTCAGACATTATGTCATTTCGCTAAATGATGTACCTTGGGTCAGAACGCCACAGGCCACAACCATGGATTGGGTTGGACCGTCTTAACATGAAACACGATAGCGACAAGACTCATCACATAAATGCGGTGAAGGGCTTGTTGGCTGTTGGCAGAACAGCCCAGGCTATAGAACAACCGTCTTGACTTTTCTCCCGGTAATATCTTCCTAAGTTCCCGCTCGTGTCATGATGGTTCGATTGTAATTTGATGGTAAGAAGGATTCGAGGAGATTTTGCATCGACGCAGATTATCCATAGAGACATTATTAGATTACCAAGTCTCTCTCTCTCTTACGGCCGTGTAGTATATTCCAAGTCAAATCGTTCTTACCCGTCCACACAGTTCCCATACTGTTTGAGAAAACTATGCAGCTCTATCAGCGAGTCCGTAGGGCTAACTTCCATGTAGCGACTCTGCGAGTCACCAGCATGTGCCAACTCAAGAACTTTACATGTAACCCACCACATCTCCAGACCATGTTTGACGAAGCCCAACGACTTCTTACGCTCTGCCTCATGTTTTGTATGCAAAGTGTCCCAAAGCTCTTTCCAGCGCTTCGTTGCGCGAAGTAAGTCGCGATATGACGACGGCGTTAGAAGCGCAGCTCGCGATACGAAGATGATGGAATGCAGTGCTACAATTTGCATTAGCCTATATTCATGGTGCAGACAAGCGAACAGACGACATGACTTACCGAATACGCAGATCATAAGGTGCCTGAGCTCGAGTATGCTGAGAAGTGGATTCTTCTGCTCGTCCGACCAGTTCTCGCTCATCAGCAAAGCTACCAGCTGCTTGATACTAGGTATCTGCTTCGTTGGGCGCAACGATTCGACGCACAATCGCTCGTACTCTTTTTGTGTCCAAGCATCGTAAAGCGCGTCATTGCACGGAAGTCGTTGGTAAATTTCTCCTATAGCCAGATTCGGAAGCAAATTGAAGAAGAAGGTATTCATGTAGTCCATGACGCACATGAAGTGTACGATCCTGGGGTGGTTAGTGCTGCAATTCATTCCTGGGTTCTGCGAATACACTGGCGGCTGATTTACCTTACTCTAGACTCTTCTGCGATGAATGCATCCCAGTCGGGCACCTCGTTTTGATGACTTGAATGGATCATCGGATCAAGCAACCTTAGGGACCGTATGGCAACGGTCAGCTCTGGGTGCCTTGAGACCCGAACCCTTCTGCGAACTGCCTCGCTATTGAAGCTACTTTGTAAAGCCACAATAAGTAAACCGGCTTGTACGCTTTCCATTGCATGGGGATCGCTATGTAGATCAGGTTTCGCTGCCACTATATGGCGCAGTTGCTCGAATATGAACTCTTCACCAAGATCAAAGAAGGCACGACAGGACAATGCGCCATCCGTTGGAGAACAGTGAACCGATCCGCCAAAAACGACGGCAAGCAAAAGTGGCAGCGAGACACTATGCATATCGAACGTGGGCCAATGAAGAAGCGGTTGTTGTGGGTGAAAGACCGTAAAGTAAGCCCACACACATTCCTCGAAGTTTTCAGCAGTGAAAACCGCTTTCGCAGCGTTCACTGGAAATATGTCATCGCAATCAAGGTCAGCTGTTCGACGCGTCTTGCTGAACGAGAAGAGTTGAGAACAAAGCTCGTTAACCCTAGACTGAAGAATGGCAATTGGTTGAGACCTTCCTGATGCTGTTGGCGTCGAAGCACAAACATCCACGCCAGTATCCACAAAGAGATCTGAGAAGATGCCAAAGAGTGCCATGTCTCCTTCGAATAGTTGGTTGCTTGGATTAGAAGCTATGTGGCTACCGAAAGGTTGTGTAGGTGTTCGTTCATCAGCGAAAGCATTGAGGATCGATTCGCGGCGAGGATCCGAATAACGATACAGGAACATGATCGGATAGGGAAGGAGCCTCTGGGCGTCTTCTACCTGTATCGTGGTATGACCATTCGCGTCACTGGCGTTGATGCCACAGGCGAACAGGCCTGACATCTGCGCCTGATTATCAATTTTTCCCGGTCGAGGTGGTCGTCCTGGTCTTGCTGAGGCTATCGCGTCATTTTCTCCTCTTTGTTGACATGACTTTGAATGCCTTCTCAGGACATCACTGCGTAGGAGTTGACGTCAGTCTGCTTGAGGCTAACAAAGCTACACGAGACACATACTGACGGATGAAGGTGCGATTGCAAAAAGCGCAAGCGTTTAAGCGATTGCGTGTATCTCACTGGTGTTAGGCATCAGATGGCTGATTCCAAGATAGTGAACATACGACTGGCTTCATGCCTCCGCAAGTGACTATTACTCGAGAAGAATTTTCTGCACGTAAGACATTGATGAGATGTGCCTCCAGCTCTTGGCTCGCTGCTATTTGACATTGGTTCGTTATTTGTGCCGCTCGTAGTGTGGGCTTTTCAGGGTTGGATGTGGGTTTTTGGTAACAAGGGAATGTGGGCTTTCCTCTCATGTGGGCTTTAAATGCGCCCGCCTTACCCTAAAGAGTAAGACACGTGATACACCATCAATCCTCAGCCCATCTCATCTTGTACCAGGGAGTATGCTGCAGAAGCGAAACTACTTCCCTCCAATACTCTTGATAGTCATGTCGAAGCTTCGAGAGTTCACAAGCTGCAAAATCCACTATGCGTTCTGTACTTTCTCACTTTGTGAATCTCGAGTATACTGTACTGACATTGCCTAGCATACATCATAAGACCTCGTATTTCAAATTACGTATCCGGAGTCACAGAACATCGCAGATTCTCTAGCTGTTCTTCTCTTTCTGGAGACCTAAAAATTAACCGACAGCGCAAAGAAGCTCTCCTTCCATCCACCAGTGTCAAACCCAGAGGCGTTGTCGAACATGTCCTGTAAGCAAAGCTCTCCAAACAGATGAAGTTTACTCGCTGACAATCTCAGGACAACTGCGGATCAGATACTCAATTGGGCGCGACAGAGCTCGCTCCACCCATTAAGCTTCGGTCTCGCCTGCTGCGCTCTCGAAATGATGCACTGCTCGATGCCTCGCTACGACCAGGACCGACTAGGGATTATCTTTCGCGCGTCTCCTCGTCAGGCAGATGTAATGATAGTTGCCGGCACAGTCACCAACAAGATGGCTCCCGCTCTTCGGCAATGCTATGATCAAATGCCCGAGCCACGATGGGTGATCAGCATGGGAAGCTGCGCGAATGGTGGTGGCTACTACCACTATAGCTATAGTGTGGTGAGGGGCGTAGACAGAATTGTTCCTGTGGACATATATGTTCCAGGTTGTCCGCCAACAGCTGAAGCATTATTATATGGTATCTTCCAGTTGCAGAAAAAGATTCGGCATACTAAGGTGACGAGAATGTGGTACCGGAGATAGCCGACTTGCTGTAGGGTAGGAAACGGTGGACATCTGAGATCCACAAAGATCATTGTGCTCAGCATTGCTCTCACTTCGGTGTGCGGCACACACTATCGCTTCTTCCTAGTTGTTTGTTGTCCCTTCTCTATACATCTGCATTGCGATCGTAGCCTCACCACTCACCACTCACGACCCTTTTGAGATACATTTCCACTTTCAGGCAGTTCTATTTAACAAATGTATCGTCAACTGCGCCACTTTTATTATATAGTAATTGTGGCATCTCGAAAACGCATACAGCACGAACATCAGGCATATTGAAGAGCAACGTTAAAAATAAGCGCAAACTCTCTTAAAGATGCACATTTCCGAGCCCATAGAGCCCGAAATTCCTGACCATTACTTGGACCTGGGTGTGAATCGGCGTGCTACAGCAGCAGACGTGAAGAAGGCTTTCCACATGCTAGCGCTACGACACCACCCAGACAAGAAAGCGCCGGGTAAGACGATAGATGCCGTCGAGTTCAGACAGGTACGTGTACTTACCGGCAAAGCTTTATGAAGTTGAATTGACGAATGGTAGGTACGAGAAGCGTTCGAAGTACTGAGAAACTCCACGACACGAAGCGAGTATGATACACGGTACAATGAAGTACAAGAAGAGTGAGAACGTCTTGAGGCAAATAATGAGCGAGTGCGTATACTAGAGGAAGAACGACGACTTGCAGAAGCGAGACAGCGCGAAGCAAAAGAGGAAGCTCGTGCCAAAGTGGAGCGTACTGCTCGACAAGAGAAAGAACGACTCGCGGAACAGCGATCACGTCAAGCAGCAGAACGAGCACAAAAAGAACTAGAAAAGGTGGCCGAAGAACGCCTCCGCCAATGGGAAGAAGATCAGGGGGCCAAACTAAAGCAGCATTGCGAACAGCGCCAGGGGCAGGCGGAGAAGAAGAATATGATGGAGGAGGACATAATGATCATGGAGGAAGACATGCTGATTATGGAGGAGGACATGATGATTATGGAGAGGGAGATGAATGTGATGAAGGAGAACATGAATATGATGGAGGAGGACATGATGATGAATAAGAAGATGATTATGATGAATGAGAAGAGGAAGATGATGGAGAAGAAGAAGATGGAGAGGAAGAAGAAGGCGGAGAAGAGGGGCAGGGGCCAGGGGAAGAGAAGAGCGAATAAATGAGTGTTGCAAGGCGCAGAGGATAACCAAGGCAGTCCGCATGCAGACATCACGCACGATTACAAAACGCGCAGTCGAAGATAATAGTCACAGAATTTGAGTAATGATATAGAATGTCCGACGAGGGCCCTACACTTACAATAATAGCAAGTCAACAAGCCACCTAGTCATGCCAGTCAAAAAACCCTAGTGTGCCGTGACTGTCGTAAACAAGATATAAAGTCCCATCCCAACACCGGGGGTATCTTTGAAGAATGAACTTTTCCCCATGCCCCAAAACACCTTTTTATCCCGTCTCGCCGTCCAGAGGTCCCTAGTAAAACACATCCAAAGAAGAGAGAAAGGATAAAGTAAAAGAGGTTGGTAGAGTGGACTTTAACCAGTCCATCCCATGTCCCCACCTTGTTGCCCACCTTGTTGTCCCATCCTCTGGGCCTGCTGCTGCGCTTGCCGCATCATCATCATCTGGTTCATCTGCTGCGGGTTCATGCCCTGCATTCCTTGCATACCCTGCATGCCACCATTCATCTGTCCACCCTGCATACCTCCCATGCCTCCATTCATCTGTCCCATTTGCGCCATGTTCATGCCCTGACCCATGTTGCCCATGTTACCCATGTTCATGCCCTGCATACCACCGCCTTGCATGCCGTTCATGGCATTTATATTGCCCATCATGCCCTGAGGCAGTTGACCGCCGCTCGCCATGGCTTGCTGACGCATCTGCAGTAGTCGCGACTGATTGGCGGCTTGTTGACGTTGTTGTTGGAGCATCTGCTGGTACTGTTGCATTTGCATTGGGTTGGTCGGATTGCCGTTCTGCATACCGTTCTGCATGCCGTTCATCTGTCCACCATTCATCTGATTGCCCATACCGTTCTGCATGTTTTGTGCCATGGCAATTTGCTGCTGTTCACGCGCTTCTCGTTGCTTGATCTGTATTTCCATCTGATGGATCTGTTGCATAACTTGCTGAGGGATGTTCTGGCCGTAATTCTGCATAACCGACTGCTTGTGTTGCTGATACCGTTGCCGCATCTGCTGCAGGTTCATGTTAGCAAAGGCCATGCCTTGTGGAGGCATACCATTTTGCTGCATGCCTCCCTGAGGTGACATGTTTTGCAAGGCCAATTGCTGTTGATTCTGCTGCTGCTGTTTCAGTTGGTTGAAATATTGCTGCGCAAGGTGATTGCGGTATGCTTGTGGATTTTGACCTGGAGGCACTCCTTGCGTCTGAATATGCTGGGCGGCCTTTTGGAATGCAATTTGTTGCATTTGTTGTTGTGGATTACCTGGTGATCCTCCTTGTTGCTGCATTTGCTGCATACGAAGTTGCTGCTGTAGGCGCTGCTGTTGCATCTGCTGCATCTGTTCAGGAGTCATATTCTGGCCAGGTTGAGGAGTTTGCATCATCATTGGTGTCTGCCCTTGCATTGCCATAGATGGGCTGCCCTGGTTCATGCGACTAGGAGTAGGCGTCATGTTGCGATTCGGCATTGAGGCGTTCATTACGGGCGTGCCCTGTACGATGTGCGGCGTGCCGGTGCGACTCAGGTTCTGCTGCTGACTGACGGAGCGAATCATATTTTGATGGTTAGAGACAGCAGACGGCGGTCGAGCAGGGCTGTTGATAGCTTGATTCGATGCTGTTGGAACCATTGGAGTGCCGCCCAAGTGTTGCGCAGACTGCCCTCCAACCAACGGCGAAGCTGCAGAGACAGCCATGGGCGTCTGCTGGCGTATGGTTGGTGAGAATTGAGATTGCGTAGCCGATTGGGGTGTCTGTGTAACCTGTATCGCTGCCGCATTGGACATCTGGTGCTGTGCTGCCGCAGCGGCTCGCGCGGCCTCGTTCTGTTGCTGGTTTTGCTGTAGTTGCGCCTGATGCGCTTGCTGACGAAGGGCTTGTTGCTGCTGTTGACGCTCCGCAAGCTCGGCTTGCTGCCTGTTCTCCATCTCCCTTTTTCTCTGGATCTCGGCCTCCATCTGCGCCGCACGCTTGGCCTGAGCAATTCGAGCATCTTCTTCCTTCTTCCTCCGGTCGGCTTCCTCGTGATTTGCGCGGATGTTAGCAATAGTCTTGAAGCGGGCGAAGGTCTGGGAATTCGCAGCAGCGCGCACGGCGTTGTCGTCGTTGCCTGTAGCGGTGGCCGTCATGATGCTCTGGTACTCGTCGCCTGCCAACATGAAGCGCTGCATGTTCTGCGCTTCGGCCTCGTCGGCAGCCAATTCGGCGGTAGTCCTCTTACGAGTCTTGCGTGGAGGCGCGGGGTTCTTATTGTTCGGATGTGTGATGGCATCCATGAGAGCTAGGGATTGGCCGAAGCTCTTGGTTGGTTCCAGGTAGAGGGGCGGGCATGTAGCGTTCAAAAACTCAGCCTCGAACTCGTGCACGTTGCTGTCGTCAAGGACCATTTTCTGGCGCTTCGGACTGGGCCCATTAGGAAAGGTAGGCGTTGAGGGTACTGCAGTCATTGGAGTCGGTGGCATGCCCCCAGTCCTGCCCTGGGCCTGCATTCTTTTGAGGGTGGCCATGTCAGGGACGGGCGTGGTGGCCAGAAGCTGCATGTCGGCCAGTTGCGACTGCGGAGTCGGAAACAGCACCACTGTCCTGACCTTGCCAATCCCAGGCTGCTTAGACAGGGCGCCGTTCTGACCCGGAGCGGGCATGTTCTCCTTGTCCTCCTTGGTCTCGTCGTCTTTGCTCTGTGCGTTAGGCTGGCCAGGCTTCGCATCGGGCTTGTTGACTGGGAATGGAGCGAAGGGGGAGGGCGTTATGAAGTTGTTGTAGTTGTGGATAGAGAAGGCGCTGGTGCCGGCCTCGCCCGTGCTGTTGGTATCATCTTTGGGCTTGACGCCGGCGGAGCGGTAGTCGTGAACTTCGACGATGAGGCAGTTGTCGTACCAGGGCGTGTTGAACTCGTAGAGCTCCTCGACCATGTTGTGGGGCACCTCCTTGTCCTTGATGGCCTGCAGCAGCTCGCGCATAGGAGAGGCATAGGACAGCGTCTCCTGGGAGTCGTTCAAGCGGAAGTGCTTGGGGTGCAGGTAGACACGGAGCGACGGCGGCTTGCCCTTGTGCCTGGCCAGGATGTCTTGCTGCGTATAGACTGCGCCGAGTGTTAGCAACTGTGCCCTTTTTTTGCCGTGGCCCAGGCGACGTACCATATTTGCGGGCATCCTCCTGCTTCACGCCCTCGTCCTCCATGTTGGACTGGCGGGTCATGGGGCGCGCGACCCCCGGGCGCTGGGACTCCCCGCGCCAACGGGGAGGCTGCGACGGGCGGGCAACAGCGACTGAGCCTGACATGCTGGTGGTGACGGAGCTCAAGCTCGTGAATCGACAGTGGGGCGGGCGTGGGACGGGCTCTCGGCCTGGGCAACTACAGCCGACAGTCGTGTGGCCTGCAGTTGCTGGAGAGAGGGACAGAGGGCAGGCGCAAGTGTGCGCACGATGCCCGAGGTGCTGCTGGCAGTACGCGACGGGGAGTAGACTCGGGAGCGGTCGGGCGTCTGATTGGAGATGTCTCGACGCGTGAAGATGGGCGACGTGATGTTTGCTGATCCGAGCTGATGCGCCGCTGCCTCCCCGTACATGCGCCAAGGAACCCTGTCCTGTTTCATCATCGACCACGTGACCATCGCTTCCCCACGACTTTCCACTTCATGTCATGTGAGCGACATCATGGAAGCGATATAGGCGGGCAGGGAGATTCGTCGAGATAGTTTGCTGACCAGCTCTCGAGTCATCAGCTTCCGCATGTCCAACCGTCTCATAGTACACTGTACAATGCTCTGTGTGTCGAGTGTCGAGTCTCTCTTCACTGTCTGTACTGGCATCCATCGAGCGTTGCTGATATGTTCCCGTGTGTACACATACGGGCAAAACCTGTGGTATGACTCCATGGCATTCTTTCCGATTGTTATGTACTTCTATCTTCAGTCTACTCCACGACGCAAAAGATAGTCACTCCGCCTATACCACTAACCTCAACATATCAGTATGGGTTGGTACTGCTGCACTTGCGGGAACGGAAACGCCGGGGATGGCGCATGCCCGGGCAACCCTCTTTGCTCCAGTTGCACCCATCATTATTGCTCCAGTTGCGGTCTGGGCGCGTGTGCCCGAAAGGGAGTTCCGCGACCTACTACAGCGCCGGTTTGCAGGCCAACAAGGAAAGGCGGGGAAAAGAGCGTGGAGAATGATCGGAACGACGACTGCCTTGTCTTGCAATAGAAATACAAAGGGTAAAGAAGAGTTCGCAGTAGAAGGAAACAGTAGTGAGAGATAGAGCTATCGGAGAGTCATTTGTATTGAAATGCAGACATGCCACTGATTTATGGTGCATCATTAATCTTGCAATGGCATGACATAATTTGCTGCTCGGTTTGACAACACCGGGTAATGACAAAAATGCAAGATGTGACTGATAGTTGTGTGGTTTGTTGGTTGATCCGAGTAATGGAACTAAGAATTCTCGATGTATATGTGAGTCATGCTAGCGTGTTCTTCAATTCACGGAGCATCGCGTCTCTTCCTAACCACACGTGTGCGACCTCACAGCGCGTACGCGAGCATTCAGAATAGAGCCTCGGGTACAAGCTGCCTAAATAATCATGACAATGTACCGAAGAACAAGATCCCTGTTCTTGCTATGAGGACGGCAACGCAAGTAAACAGTACGCGAAACCACTCACCCAAGAGCACAGCTCTCGCAACCCAATCAGCCTATATCAGTTCCATTGACACTCTCAAACTGAAGTTTCCCACCACAAGACGACCAAAATCCAGGTCTTTGATCATTGGTCCTTGAACGCACCTTAGCAGAAAAACCTGTGACGTTCAACGTCCCAAAACGCGAAACCACAGCGCCGGTACTTCGAGCCTTCCGGATACGCACGCCCTCGATGCATAACCGCATGTGCCGAGACTAGCACGCGAGCCGTCTTTATGCTACGGAGAGAAAGGGAGCAAAAAGAGTGGAAGAGGCGCTGTTGGTGGCTTGCTGTGCCGTGTAATGGGATTGCGGCGTAGGTCGCAGAGGTGCGTTAGCGACGCGGTGTCATGTTGTGTGCGGAGTCGCCGAACCACTCTTCTCGACATCAAAAGAGAACAGAGACGAAGGGGACATGTAAATGAGTTCAACAGGTGGTATACTGAATGGCGATGGCGTCGTGAGTCGTGAGTAAGGATCTACGATCTATCGTGCGTTAGTAGATTTCCATGTTCGCCCCACTCAGCTGTCAAAACACGTCGAAACCGCACTGTAGGTTAATGTTCCTACCGGGGGTCCTGCCAAACACGGCCTCTGATCCGCAGCACGTACTCTTAACGTACAATGTGTCAGGTCGCAGGATCGTCTTCTTTCCGGGAGGTCAATGTGTAGCTCATCGCATGAACGAAAGAAGTGGAGCAGCGGCAAGCTCCCAAGGCTGTCTAGATCACCTGGCGTTTTAGGCGCCCAGTATTCTGGCTGTTTTGAGTGCCATGACAAGTGAACATCAGATGGGGGTACGTGACACTGTTGAGATAGCAGATGGAGAAAGGGACGCCGTGCCATTGAGGGTATTTCCTATCCGAAAGCAATCAAATCAAACTATGTAACAAGATGGACGAACCAGGAAAGAGAGAGAGGAATGGTAGATGTTACCGTGACGAAACCTTGCAAGACAGTTCAGAGATATTGGACTCTATTCCCGATCGGTATTAATGAGAGTATGAACAAAATGAAAGATCTAGCTCTGCCAGATCATAAACTGACATCGACGATGATATCTCGTAGCGATTAGTTTATGGCGATGGGAGCTTGCCTGCGAGCTCCACATAGCGCGGCCAAGTATTGGTGAAGACAAGGTACTTGATGCTTTCAAAAGCAGCATCGAAGACGTCTTCCGTGAATTCGCTCGGGACTATCGTCCGTGTGCTCGCCGTTGACGAGGATGTGATGCTGGAGTCGATACTCGCTGGTCGGCTCAAGGTATCCTCCCATGGGCAGACGACGTTCTCTCGAATGACCGGTGACTTGACATCATCAGGTGTCTGGCTGCGTGGCATATATGGATCGAATTCCACGTCTGCGAACATGACCTGTAGTGTCTTGAAAACCTTGTATTCGATGTTGATTGGTGCCTCTGCAGTGAAGGGGTTGACGAGCGTGTAAAAAAGCAAAGACGCTTCGTTGAACATCTGCCGCCGTTGAGAAGTGGTGACAACCTTCAGGCCACCCCATTTCTTCTTGAAGTTGCGTACCTCGCGCAGGAAGATGCAGTTCTCGGCGGTGAATTCACGAGCAGCAGCCCAGGCGATAAGCGGTTCGACACTATGCTGAATAGTGAACTCTAGCGACTGCATCGACGTCTTGGACCTCATCTCCTTGGTGAAAACCACAGTAGTCGATTTTTCGGACATGACCGAGTGATTGGAGGTAAGCGAGTCAGTTTCAGATATGGATGCTCGCCGATTGGGGCGGGCCCTCAATGCGTCTCGGAGTGGTATGATGATCAGAACTTGTTGACAGACTACTAGTGACGGTATGAACCTATATAGCAGTGTTAGAATTGACGACAGAGTTCTCGAATCGACTGCACTTACCATCCAGCTGGTGCGAAGAATTTGTTGATGTGCTGGACTTTGGACATGTCAGAGTACGTGAAGGCGATCCAAAGAGGCGTCCCGGGAAGGCTAATATTCGAGTTAGTCGTGTGAATAGTTCGTGATACAGGCGCACATACCCGGCAATGATCGCGAGTCTCGTTTGCCAGGCCCAAGAATGAACGTCCTTGATGTTACGGATCTTCCACAGTATCCAAGGTCCAACGATCATCGTCCAGAACAGCTGCACAAATATTGAAGGGATCCTGCTTTGAAATCAATGAAATGGTTCAAAAGTCATATTCGCTCAACATACCACTCGCCTCCTCTGCGGCACTCAAAGTAATTGGCCGGAACACCAAAGAAACCGTAGGCATCATGGAAACGACGGGAGCCGAAAAACAACATGATGGCTGGTAGGAACTATGGCCGTTAGCTGTCTGCAATTCGAGCCACCACAAATCATCACCTACCGAAAGCACTAATCCGACCAGAGTTCCAAAGTACACTTTCTTTGCCGCATCAAGATCGCGCCATGCTTCGTACAGGCCAAGAGGGGTGTAAGATATCCGCTTCCTGCGCGCACCCTCCAGAAAGTTGCGTGTCATCCGACGCTGGCTCTCATATGCTGTGAGCACTTTGGCATTGCAGGCTAAAAAAGACTTAGTATGCATCCGTTGCTATATCGGCCCACCAGACTTACCTTGGAAGAATGCCATGCCAGACGGGAGAAATACTGACATAATCCAGAATTCGGCTGAGCACGGAAAGAGGCCATTCCAAGGGTAAACGAGCAGGACGAGGATGAGATAAATATGTAGCATAAGCACTGCTGCAAAGACGACCTTGAGATTTCTTATCTGCAGGCAAAAGGCTTCTCTACGTCGATGTAGGAAGAAGAGCTCCACACCCAGTATCAGTGTGTACACTATGGCAACCACGACATAGAAGATACCAAGAGCGTCGGTGTTGGGTTTTGTTGTGCCATCGAGTCTTCGTGGGCGCAAGAGAGGCGCCATGTTGACCATGCTGTGTGGATACCAAACGGATGTGATAGTTTCGATTGACAATCGATGAGGTATGAGGATTTGAATGTCAGGCTCTGCCTCTTACTTAACAAAACGAAAGTGGGGACGTGTAGCGGAAGGAATGGAGGTAGCTGGTACCGAGAAGACGGGACAGGTCATGCAAAGGGCACATAGGCGAAAGGAGCGGCACACGACTACTATGAAGGACGAGAAGACGTAGGAAGTATTAAGACTACCTCGCACATGGGCCAGGTTCAGCACAGAATACGACAGGGAGGGTTTAGCTGCGGCTTCGGTGGTCTAAGCGGCAAGGGATTGCTCGTTGTTAGATGGGTCAAATGGTATTTAGCCACCAGAGGCTAGTGATTGTTCCTGACGTGTAACGGGAAGAGAGCGCACCATCTGCAGGGAGAGACGCGGGAACGCTATGGCGGAGAGATGTGTCACGACGGCTACCATGGGAGCACAAGCTACTACCTTGCCAAACTGCGACCGCGGAGAGCAATCTGACGGCCGTCTTCAAACATGCTGGTCGATATGCGATGCACGGATGCGTGAACGGTAAGAAGACGGTTGGGTACGTCGTGCGGTTGATCGTGTTCTGGTTCGTGCTGGATCGTCGCATCCGAGATCAGACATCGGAGGTTTCGGCACGACTGAACCTCCTAGGATCCCCCCAGGAACCGCTCTTCATCACCACAACACCAGATCTTAGATTTTCTCGTCCAAATGTGAGTTAATAGCTACACACGTCGAATAGCGTTGTATTACGCCCCCCGTTCACTGCAGCTCAAATGCGAATAGCGTTGCCCTGATCATAATGGGTGCCGCGGTTGCGGGTACAGTGCTGAGCTCGACATGTCCAGGGCGCATTCCAGCGCTGCACCCGCCGAATTCTGCGACTATAGCAGTTGAAATATTGATGCAAACTGAGCTCATGTATACAGGAAGATCCATGTGGTACTGTGGTTTCAGTA